AAAATTCAAGTTATGAATGTGTATTCAGTTGCCCAACTGAGACTCCACAAATGGTTAAACTATATTGTCAATCAAAACTTTCCAGGCCATCAACAAAACCATCTCCTCTGTGCACACTGGTTATTGATTCAGGGTGCATATCATGTGTGGTGTGTTGTTGTTTTTCATAGAATATGTTACAAAAAACAATATATATAAAAAATATATTTTATTCGGAGTAAAATAAACCATACATAAAAACACTAATACTTTCCATATTTTTACTCCAGTATCTGCTGAATTAATCACTACTGTGCAATATAACTACTGTCCATCCTTCATTGTCCTCTTACATAGCTCACCTTTAAGTTTTATTTATCAATAATTTCAAGGCTGATGAAACCAGTGTTTTCTCTATAATATACTGCCTGCCCCCTATAATTCATCCTATTCTCTATAATTTACTGCCAACAGATTAAACATGCAGAAGCTTGGCACATTTTTATGAAGATGTCATGTTTCCATATGTTTAATCCGTCACTTATTCTGAACCTTTTGGTTCATTTCTGCTATTTTGATAGTGCAGTTACGGAAAGAAATATTGGAAAGTAATGTCTGCTTAAACTGGATGGAAGATAGTAAAAATATTATAAATATTATCATATTGATATCCAGTAAAGAGTTCAATATATTAAAAACATTATCTTGATTGTATTATCCAAATCACTTTTTGTCCATTGACTTATTTATTGTTTCATGCTAACGCACTTTTCCTGTAGGCGAACTTATCACACTGGACCAGTGTGATAAGTCTGCCTACATCTGTAGCCTAGAAAAGTATCTGAATGAATTAAAGAGATTCAACAGTTCTAATGAAAAATGATGTGACACTCCTCCTCCAGAAATTGGCTGTTGTTTGAGAGTTGTTAGCCAAATCTTACTGTAAATAAATATTTGTTTGTGGTTTTCATATAATTTTATAAATTCATACTGCGGACTTAAATATTATGTTATGACTTATTTGTAACACAAAACAATTTCCAACAACTTAACACTTTGTTGAGTAATAATAATCCACGAAAACCTTTCTGTACAAGTGTTATGTTCTTAACTACTCCATAAACGCTTTCAACCTCCACCGAGGTCTGCTTCAGGTGGTGACTGACCGTGTTTCTTCCTGACCATCATAACGATGTCGCCAGAGATGTAAATAATCGTGCACGTCGGGTTTCACCCCTCCGACTGTCCCTGTTCGAATTCCTTGAACAAATACCTCCACACCTGCGCGATTGTTTCACCATCTTTATTGTTGATGCAGGTGCCCCAACAGTTAGCTTTATGAATCTCCCAGGCCTCCAGATGTCGGATGTGATCAGTTTGGAACGCTTGTCTAATTAGTCTGGTATTCCAGTAGTCACCACCTGAAGCAGACTTCAGTGGAGGTCAAAAGTGTTTGTGGAGTAGTTAAGAACAAAACACTTGTACAGAAAGGTTTTCATGGATTATTATGACTTATTTGACTTAAACTTTACATTAGAAGTATTGAACACGAGATCGTGTTATTAACCAATCACATGGCTTCTTTTCCACCTTTATTTAGTTGATACAGTATCATTTACATGTTTCGGGCTTTGATACCGTATCAACTAAATAAAGGTGGAAAAGAAGCCATGTGATTGGTTAATAACACAATCTCGTGTTCAACACTTCTAAAAAAATGAACATTTAACTTTACATTTACTTATTTATTATGTTTCGTGCTAGTGCACTTTTCCTGTAGGCAGACTTATCAACTGGACCAGTGTGATAAATCCACCTACCAGAAAAGTACACTAGTATGAAACATAATATATTAAAAACATTTTTGATCAATTCGTAGGTCTTCCTCAGTTACAAAATATATCAAATTCAAATTAATGAATTGAACATATAACCAACGTTCAAAATTTAAAACAATAAAATTTAAACTTTCAAACTTTTAAACATAAATCAATAAGAAAATAGAGAGGTTGAGGCGCACGTTTTAAACGTGTAAACGTGTACATGTGACGTTCGGCGCCGCTTTCCCGTAAGCCTAAAAGTTTGACGATGGTGTTTGAAATGTCGAGCGTGATTCCACCGACTGTCCAAACACCATTGTCAAACTTTTAGGCTTACAGGAAAGCGGCGCCGAACGTCAGACGTACACGTTTACACGTTTAAAACGTGCGCCTCAACCTCTCTAATAACACAAAAACAATACCAAATGGGATAAACTGTTTGTAAAATAGTGATTAAAGTTTCAAGTTAATAGATACACCTACACTGTGAATAAAGTGCCCAAATCTCTAAGTGTAAGTAAAAATAAAATTTTATTCATTACAATATAATAAATAAAGAGATAATAATTGTTTAAGGAATCAGAAAAACATCAATCATTGTTTAGTAAAGTGTCAAGAACAAAATTTAAAGTTACATGTATATTTTTAATGATGATATTAATTTTTAATTGTAATTGTTCTAGATGATTAATAAATATTTCAAAGAAAACAATGAAAATTTACAAACTATCAGAAAAATACCAGATTTTCATCCTAGAAGAATGAGAAGCAGAATGTATTACTTACAGTCCAGTAACACATATTTTGGTCACAAACCAGTGAGAAACTATGGCAGCCTTTGTCAGTGAGACATTGAACAATCTAGATATTCCAAATAAATGAAATTTGGAAGTAATAATTGCAATACAATGTTTGGTGGTCTTACAAGAGGCAATGTCTTTGCAAATTCAGAGAGATTGAGAAATCAAGCATTAATAGGAGTGGGATGTGTACTTAATAGCAATTTAGCACACCACAATTCTTCTTGACATTGACTTAAAACTAAAGTTTTGTTCTCATTATAACATATTTAAAGGAGCATCAAAAATCTGTTTAAACTAAAATTTTCTTAAAATGAAAAATGAATATAAATTATTTATTGAGCAAATAATTAAATATAAAGTCCACATATAAAAAAAACGTGTTTTATATATAACACATTAATATAAATATTAGTAGTACATATATATACTACTATTATCATTTTTATTATTTCATGTAAATAAAGTAGTTTAGTTCTGAAGTTAACAATTTAATTCACATCTCCAAATAGAGGTATAAATAGCTTGTGGCTGTTGTTGAGATTAGTACACCTGCAACTCATTAGTTACTTCCTGGTTCTCCTTTGGGTACAGTTGGAGGACAATAGCAAAGAAGAGAGAAAGAAGTTGTAACAAAACCTTCAAAGTGAAAACCAAAGGAATTCTATTACTATTGACTGACAGAAATGGAACATTAAACTAAGTTTCTTTTAAATATGTTCATACAACTTACTGAAAAATTTTATGGGTTCTTATGGAGGTTGGATCAGAGAAAATCTAAATGTTTGTTATTCTGAAAAGTTCATTAATTATAAGCTTTATAATAATGAAATTCCACTGTAGATATAAATAAAAAAATTGTTTTTAGTTGTTTTATTCATTTTAAGGTTTTATGTGTTTTTCTACATTTTTAGCAAGTTTTACACATTTACTAGTTTACTCCTTTTTTTTATCTTGTTTTAAATCCTTCGTTACTTCAGCAGTCACATGTAAATATCATTTAAGTTTTAACAAATATATATGGACTGAAGCAAACAGTCTGAAATGCATATCCATTCCATTGCACTAAATAAAGTTTATTTTATTCATCTAATTGTATTCCTGTGTGATAAGTTCTACTTAACAATTTTGTGCTTATTCCCAAAGAAAAAAATTGTTCCTTTTTATATTCTAATATACACAAAATAAATTCATATCTGAATTCAATCTGAACTTTTTACAGATTTCTACTGACATATTACACTTCATTTTTTCTTAAATATTATTACTATTAGATCAAAAACATTTAAATTAAAGCTTGCTGGTTTTAAAATTAAGGTTAATAGTTGTATGTTACAAAAGAATAATTCATTCAATATTTGTGAGTAATTGTTACTATTATAATATAGAATTCCTCAACAATTCGAACAAACAAGCATAGATTTAGAAGGCTGTATAAACTTTTATATTTAACACTTTTGATGCTGGAGGTGACTAAAGATTCTTATATATTTGATGTCAATTTGTTCAAGATTCATTAATATTTATATTAAATATAAAGGTTCTATTTAATATTAATAATATAACTGTAAATAACTGCTGATACTTAATTGCCTCCAGAGTCGGCAGTTAATTTCAACTGTTCAAGTTTTTAAATGAAAAGCAAGATTTTTAATAATTATGCCCAAAATTGTCATCATAAAAATGCAATTAAAATATTAAGCAATCTATTATTTTTTATATTGTTCTTTGAATTTATGACAAAACAGTAATTTTGTATTATTTATATAGTATATAGTCATTTCAAATTTATGATGATTTATCACAGCTGATTCTTGTTTTCATTGCTCACTAAATATTGGTAATTTGCCAATTGGAAGTTTTTCTTTGTTCTTCCTTATGCATTGATCACAACAGTTATACATTCTAAATATAACAATATACAAAACAAATTGTTTTCTTTTTCTACAAATCAAATAGTCTCATACGAAGAAAAACTTTTTCTTTACCTGTAATATCTCATTGAAATCAAATAATTTCTTACATAAAATTCTGTATTTCTTAATTATATATCTAAAAGATTCTTAAATTTTTACTTCCTCATTTTTTTTTAATTTAGTTTCCATGCTAGATATAATTTTAACAATTACATGAGTATAAATAATGATGGCTTCAATAGTTAAGTTAGACGTTGAGAGCTGTAATATAATTTATTCATATATATTCATATACTTTTCAACTAAAGCCTTTTTAATTTTAAAAGTTAAAATTATATCTGGAAAGCATACAAAACATAATTATATATCATATAAATATATATTTATTGCTTGTCATTTATTGTATTTAAAAAATGTATATATAAATATCTTGCATTTTTATTACACCTACATGCTTGTTTACATTTTATATGCACAATACTCACCTCGTCAGATGATGTTTGGATCTGGCTATCTTTCATTTCAATGTCATCATCATGCGATCTTTCATTTGTTAATATCGCTACTGCTTCGTTAATATCCCCTTTGCTAATTCTCAAAGCTCTTTTGATTTCATTAATATCCGAAAAACCCATGGACAGTAAAGTCATGCTTGATACACATTCTTCATCTTGATCCATGGTTGACATTGTGCATTATTTAAACTGTCGGTAGCATTAAATAAAATAACCAGTCTAATAAAATAATAATAAAATTTCAATGATTTAAACTCGACTACACACCTATTCTATACACTAATACCACGCTAAGAAATGCACATTGCACGCCATTTTGAATTTCATTCACTACTGTGGCGCCATTTTTATACAAATATAAAATAATTTCAAAATGAAATTTTTCAAAATTGTTTGTTGATTTTATTTTATTTTTACGATTTATTTATACGAATAAATTTTATTACAATCTTTGCAAAAATTTTTTACTTTCTTATAAATTTTAAAACATTTTTCTTTTCTTTGAAATTCATTTTCAAAAAACAATAGATTCAGTTCTGAATATTGAAACGTGAAATAATTTTGAACATTTCAATAAAATTTGCTTTTATATACATTTTATAAAATATATAATTCATCAATTATAAATCAATACTGTATTATAATAATTTTCAAAGTTTTTATATTTGACAGCTGGATGGCCAAACGGTTAACGCCTACCGCTTTGGAAAATACGGGATCAATTCCAGACTGGTTCGGGAATTTTTCGGATGGTGGTTCATCTGGCGGCTGGGTGATGGCCGCCATCACCCAGCCGCCCATTGTAGGCCAACCCGAAACCATAACAGGCTTGCTAAAACGACTTAGTGCCCACAAGGCGGAAAGAGTTGTATATATTTAAATATATATATATATATTAAATATATGTTACTGTAAATGCTCGAACTATGATAAATCCTAAGATCTTCCAGTAAAACCTAAGATTTACCAAATCTTTGTGGTAAAAGTCCGAAATGTTCTGCGATCATCGCTAATTTCGAACTTTTACCAGCATTTACTCGGTATATCTAAGGTTTTACCTCAGAGACATGGTAAATGTTGAAAAAATAGTCACCGCCTTCGCTCGCCACATTTCATCGTTTGACACGTTAGAACACGCACGTTAATTCTAATCTTGTTTGAGATTTCGTTGTCTAAAAGTTATTTATGAATCAAGATGAGTATGAAACGGAGATTTTATGAAATAATGGACGAGCTCGTTGCAAGCAAGAAAGATAATAACTTTTAT